TTATTATACAGTGTGAGGCAAAAATAGGGTTACAGTTGTGAGTACACAAGACACATACAAACAACTGTAAATATATTTTTGCCCCACCCTGTATTTCCCTGCAGATATTTTCAAGTCTGGAATTTTTTTTTTTTTAAAATCTAGTGAACAGTTATTTTATAATCTGTGCCTGATAATTTTGGTATTTGATGTTTTTATGAATCTATTTCTGCTGTCTCCTGTTTTAAATAGTAGTTGCTTTGGGCTTCATTTCTTTTCTTTTTTTAAAGGTTTTTTTAAATTGATTTTTAGAGAGTGAGGAAAGGAAAGAGAGAGAAACATTGATCAGCTGCCTCCTACATGCCCTCTACCGGGGATTGAGCCCGAAACTTGGGCATGTGCCCTGACCTAGAATCAAACCCACAACCTTTCATTGCACAGGACAGTGCCCAACCAACTGAGCCACACCTACCAGGGTCAGTGCTACATTTTTTTATGCTTTTTGTTTAAAACAGCATTCTGCTTATTGTTCTTGAAAAATTATTTGTGAAATTTCTTTGAGAGCTAGGATAAAGATGCATTTTTTCAGAGATAATTTTTATTTGCTTCTTCCAAGTGCCTAGAAAGTCTACCAATCCCATATTATTTTAAACTGCCGAGTTCATGGCTTGCATTTTGTTTGTTTTACTTATTTTGTTTGTTTGTTTGTTTGTTTCAACCACCCAGGCAATACTGATTTGAATGGTGCTAACATTTCTCAGGGGAGCCCTGCCCCATCATTGCCAAGGCAACTTCCTTTCAGCTCCCTGAGGGTGGGGGAAATTTTTCTTCTGGTTTACATTTTCCCTTAGAATGTCCAGCCCTTTGGAAGACCAGCTTGAAGTGGGAAAAGTTTCCTTATTGAACTGGGATGGGTTTTTTCCTGTGACTATTTGCTTGGTTCTGTGGTGCCCTGGAAATGGAAATTCAAGATCTGCAGGTACCCTTAGGGCATGACTTTGGTGCATCTCTTACCTGTCTTATTTCTTATTTCATTTAGATTTTGCACTGATTTATTAATCTTTGATGCTTTTAAAACCTCTTTTTCATACTTTGTCCTGTTTTCAAAGCTCTCTCTATTTCCAGAAATAGTTTTAAATCTATCGGTTTTTTATAAATACTTATTAAATACATAAGAGAATGATTAATTCAAATATTGTAAGCTTTAGAGATACATTCTCCCAAGTAGTGAGAATATTGTTATGAATGGGTATCACAGTGTTCTGGAGCCTGAATTAAATCATTGCATTTGGTTACCTAGGAGTGTTGGTCTTAATGAGGTGGACTCTACTTGTAGATTCTTTTTCAGGATCATTTTAGTATTTTATTTTCTAAAATGAATATGTTAAATAGTTTTTCCTGATAAAGGGATATATATGTGTGTGTGTGTGTGTGTGTATTGTAAATCCAACAAATGAATATGTTAAATAGTTTTTCCTGATAAAGGGATATGTGTGTGTGTGTGTGTGTGTGTGTGTGTGTGTGTGTGTGTATTTTGTAAATCCAACAATTCGGAAGTGGTAAAATAGAAAGTCCTCTCCAAAAGCACTATTAAAGAGTTTAGTGGTCATATATGTATGTGTACATGTATGTTCATATTGATAGATTCCCTTATTTCGATTGTAATTAATTTAACCAATATCCTATAAACATTTTATATTCTGTAGGTAGTACTGTAATGAATGTCCTTGTGTATCTATATGTGTGTGTGTATATATATCTACCTGTACTTATGCATATTTCCTTTTTGATAAATTTCCAAAGTATAATTTCCAAGTCAAAGAATATGCTCACTTTAAAATGTCATTACATAATTGTTAACTGATTATCAGCAGTTTGAGAGTCTCCGTTTCTACATATCCTTCTATTACTGAATTTTATCATTGTAATCTTTGTCAGTGACAAAAATGCTCTGTTTTAACTTGCATTTCTTCATTTTTGATATTAAACATTTTTTCATATATTTTAATGGCCTTTGGATTTCTCTTTTAATGCTTGTCCAGGTCCTTTGCCTATTTATTTTTTGGAGTATTTGTTTTTTTCTTACTGATGAGTAGGAGCACATTATTTATTAAAATTGTTATCTCATCATTTATATTGTAGATATTTTTTCCTGTTTGTAATTTTGTCTCTTTGTTTATGTTGACTTTCACCATTTAGAAGTCAAAATATTTGATGTAGTTGAATTTATTAATGTTTTTTCTTTATTACTTACTGGTTTTATTGTTCTTAGATGTTACTATATAGTTTATATTTTTAATATCATGTTTGAAAAGTCCTTCACCACTAGAAAGTCATAAAAGAATTTGTTTATATTTCTTATAATTTTTACATAATATAAGGAAGCAAGTTTCTTTTCCTTTTTTGTTATCTATGCAAATATCCTACCATCTTTTTAATCAGTTCCCACTAATTTGAAATGTACTTTAATCACTAATTATATATCCATATTATATGGGTATCTTTCTGAATTTTCTGTTCTATGCCACTGATCAATCTCCTATACCAGTAGTATACTGATTTAGTTAATGTTGCTTTATATTTATATATATATTTTTTTATCTTCACCAGAGGACATTTTTCTATTTTTTGTTCAGGTAGAGTGGGAGGGAGGAGAGAGAGAGAGAGAGAGAGAGAGAGAGAGAGAGAGACATCGACATGAAAAGGACACACCGAGTGGCTGCCATCCGCACGACCAACCAGGGCCAGGGACAAACTGCAACCGAGGTACGTGCCCTTAGCGGGAACCGAACCCGGGTCTCTCCGGCCCACAGGCTGACGCTCTAACCGCTGAGCCAAACTGGCCAGGGCGCTTTATATATGTTTTAATAGTCAAGTTTCCTGATATTTTTTATTAAAAATTATGTAGCTAATTTTGATTATTTTTCCAAATGAACCTCAGAATTCATTTGTGAAGTTCCACAAAAATCAACTCCCTAAAAGAGAGCAAGTGCGAACCCGGATGATCACTATACCACCACATCACTCCATTGATTTTATTTTATTTTCCATTGTTTGTTGTTTTGTTTTTTTTATCCTCACCTGAGGACATTTTTCCATTTTTTGTTCAGGTAGAGTGGGAGGGAGAGAGAGGAATAGAGAGAGAGAGAGAGAAACATTGACATGAAAGGGACACATTGAGTGGCTGCCACCTGCATGACCAACCAGGGCCGGGGACAAACTGCAACCGAGGTACGTGCCATTAGCAGGAACTGAACCCAGGTCTCTCTGGACCGCAGGCCGATGCTCTGACCGCTGAGCCAAACCGGCCAGGACTCCATTGTTTTTTATTATTTGTTTTTTATTATTTTTTATTATTATTTTGGTACGTGCCCCTACCGGGAACCAAGCCCAGGACTCTCTGGTCTCCAGGCCGATGCTGAGCCAAACCGGCCAGGGCTTATTATTATTTATTATTATTATTATTTTGTTCATCTTTGTCCAAGGATATTTTTCCATTGATATTTTTAGATAGAGTGGAAGGAAGGGAGCGAGATATATAGAGAGAAACATCGATGTGAGAGGGACACATCAATTGGTTGCCTCCTGCATAACCCCAACCAGGGTCGGGAATTGAACCTGCAACCCAGATATGTGCCCTTGATCAGGAATCAAAACCGAAACCCTTCGATCCATAGGCCAACACTCTAACTGCTGAGCCAAACCATCCAGGGCACACAACGGTCTCTTGTGAAAAAAGAAAATAAAACCAAAAATAAAGGAAAAGCCCCAAGCATTGACTTTTAGAGAAGTTTGACACCTATAAAATTGAATCCAGGAGCATATATTGCCATTAAATTTAAGTCAAATCTTTTGTATCTGTCTGTGAAGCTCTGGGTTTTCTTTATATGTAATCTGCATACTTCTTAAGTGTACTTCTGATTATTTTACAGATTTTTTTGAAATTTGAATCTGCTTTTTCTTCCATTACATGTTCTGATTATAATCAATTGTTGGTATGTGGGGAAGCTTATTGATTTTTGTGTAATTTTATATTTGACGATTTTACTGAACTCTTACTTTGTTTTTCAGTTGATTTCCTTGGTTTCCTTTGTGAATAGTTATGTCCAAGGATGATACATTCTAATCTTTATTGTTTTCCAGTGTTTATACCTCATATTTTTTCCATATCACATTGACCAAAACTTTTATAAAAATGAATGATTGTGATGTTAATGTGTTAACCCCACCTAGTTCCTAACATTAGTGAAAGTGTTTCTACTATAGCACCATTAAGTATACTTATTAAATTAATTTCTGAAAAAGAATACTCTTTGTTATATTAAAGATACTGGTAATATTTAAGATGGATACTTCTAGTTTTTTGTGTGTTTTTTTTAAGAGTTACCCCTCCATTTTTTTTGGCATCTAAAGGGAAGAATCTTGATTTTATCCCCCCTCCTAACATTAATGTAATGAATTACATTAGTAGATTTGCTAATAATGAACCATCCTTACATATCTAGAATATATCATACATAATTGTGGTATGTTATTCTTTCAGTGTAGTATGGAACTTGCTTTACTTGTATTTATTTCAGCTTTGTTTGGCATCTAAGTATAGTGTGGTGAGAATCGAATTAAGAGTGAAGTAAGCTCTACCTATAAGGTAGAGAACAAATGTCTTAATCTTTGTTTACCAACAGGATAGAAATAACATTTCCTTTGTAGGACTGAGGATATTATGAAGTTAATTTATTGAACTCTACAAAGTAACCTGCCAATTCAGCGTTAAGTAAATATAGAACCATTAAAATGTAATTTTGCTGAATTTGAGTAAGATGTTAACTCAGGTTTGTAGCTAGGTCATAACCTAGTAATAATGTTATTATACTCTCCATATTTGTTTTCAGAGAAGGTGTTTGGGGTTTTTTAATCATTATTATATACAGTAACTGTTTTAATCTGTTGCATGTTTTGGCATTATCAGATTTTCTTTCTCATGTAATTTATGTGTGTGGGTTTTTTTTAATGTTTTCCAGCGACGAGTAGAACAGCCCCTCTATGGTTTAGATGGCAGCGCTGCAAAGGAGGTATCGGAGGAGCAGTCTGCTCTGCCAACCCTGATGTCAGTGATGCTAGCAAAACCTCGGCTCGACACGGAGCAGCTGGCACAAAGGGGAGCTGGCCTCTGCTTCACTTTTGTTTCAGTGAGTACTGAGCCTGAATTTATGCAGATCCTTGTTCTGGAACGCCTTGATGAGGTTGGAATAATGATTTTGGTAGAGAGATGATGACGTTTCCAACTTGGTGTCACTTCTAGAGGTAGTGGTGAGCTTCTCTGTCTCCCTTGGTTCAGAGGTCTGAAAAAGACAGCTTTATTAATGTCTGAGCACACTGTGGGAAGGAAAATGCAATCTTAGGTTGACAAAATAACGAAAATACAGATCAAATTCCATTACAACCAAAGAAGTTGTATAATTAAAAATAAAATCTCCAAACTCCAGCCATTACTTATTTAAAACAGTATTTAAGGTACGGCCAGTGTGGCTCAGTGGTTGAGCGTCGACCCATGCACTAAGAGGTTGCTGGTTCAATTCCCAGTCAGGACATATGCCCAGGTTGTGGGCCAGATTCCCAGTGAGGGGCATGCAGGAGGCGGCCAGTCGATGTTCTCTGTCATTGATTTTCCATCTCTCTCTCCCTCTTCCTTTCTCTATCTCTAAAATCAATTAAAGGAAAAAAAATTTTTTTTAAATAAATAAATAAACAGTATTTAAGTCAGTAAAATTTAAGCATGTAGTCAGGCATTCCATAGCATGCTTACCAGTCATTTTGCCTCTGGTATTTGGGTGACCTACACGCTTGCCTTCTCTCATCTCTTCAGGGTGTTCATATCATTAGTTTTTCCAGGAATATTTGGTTACTTGTTTGCTCTTTTCAGCTTGCTTCTTTCTCCCTCTTTGAAGAACAAGAACTTGAAAGTTTGACCCCTCTGTTACTTGTCAAATTATAATGCAGTTTGACTGAAAAGTTTCTACTTTCTTGGTTTCTGGGACCTACCAAGTGTTTGTGGCCAGAATGGTATATAAAGCAAGAGAAAGCTCCATTGCCCTATTCTTCCATTTTTAGGGGCAATTTTCAGAGCTAAAGTCACCGTTGATGTAGGTGTGTTTCCCTCTTACTAGTTTATTTCTTCATTTATCATCGAAGTTTCTTCTTCTTTTTTGGTTAATCCTCACCCAAGGATATATTTTTTTTATTGAAATTTAGAGAGAGTGGAAGGGAGGGAGGGAGAGAGAGCGAGAGAGAGCGAGCGTGAGAGCACGCAACATCAGTGTGAGAGAGAGATGTCAATTGGTTATATATCAATTGGTTGCCTCCCGTACTTACCCTGACTGGGCCAGGTATCAAGCCCTCGAACGTTCGGTGCATCGGATGAGGCTCTAACCACGGAGCAACACCAGCCAGGGGCTCTAATTTTCTTCTTTTTTTTAAAGTCCTCACCCGAGCACATTTTTCCATTTTTTGTTCAGACAGAGTGGGAGGGAGAGAGGAAGAGAGAGAGAGAAAAACATCTATGTGAAAGGGACACATCAAGTGGCTGCCACCCACACCACCAACCAGGGCCGTGGACAAACTGTAACCGAGGTACACGCCCTTAGCAGGAAATAAACCTGGGTCTCTCTGGACTGCAGGTCGATGCTCTAACCACTGAGCAAAACTGGCCAGGGCTAATTTTCTTCTTTATTGGCCCTGTGGACTCTGAGTCATTCATCCACATGCAATTGTATTAAAAAATGGCCATAGCCTGGCTGGTGTGGGTCAGTGGTTGAGCATCGACCTACGCACCAAGAGATCACCAGTTTGATTCCCTGTCAGGGCACATGCCCACATTGTGGGCCAAATCCCTAGTGGGGCGGCATGCAGGAGGCAGCCAGTTGATATTCTCTCTCATCGATGTTTCTATCTCTCTCTCCGTCTCCCTTCTTCTCTTTCTAAAATCAATAAAGGGGCGGGGGGAAGGTCATGAAGCCCTGGCCAGTTTGGCTCAGCAATTAAAACGTTGGCCCGTGGACCAAAAAGTCTTGGGTTTGATTCCCAGTCAAGGGCACGTACCTCAGTTGTGGGTTCAATCCCTTACCCTGGTTGGGGTCATGCGGGAGGCAACCGATTGATGTGTCTCACTCACATCAGTGTTTCTCTCTTTCTCTCCCTCCCTCCCATCCTTCCTCCCTACTTTCCTCTATATAAAAATAAATAAATAAATAAAAGCAGGTTAAAAAAAAATTGCCATGAAAATGGTAGGTGTCTTAGGAAAAGAAATAAAAATAAAATAATTAGGGAATTGTGCATTGTTTGGATTACTTTCTTACAGTTATTATTGCTTTCCCTCAAGAAAGAGATAAATACAACTTGTTTTTGTTGTTAATCCTCACCCAAGTATATTTTTTCCATTGATTTTTTTATTTTTTTTATTCTCACCCGAGAACATTTTTCCATTTTTTTTGTTCAGAGAGAGTGGGAGGGGGAGAGAGAGAGAGAGAAACATCGACGTGAAAGGGACACATTGAGTGGTTGCCACCCACACGACCCAACCAGGGCTGGGGACAAACTGCAACCAAGGTACGTGCCCCTAGTGGGAACTGAACCTGGGTCTCTCCAGACTGCAGGCTGGTGCTCCAACCGCTGAGCCAAACTGGCCAGGGCGATTTTTTAAAAATATGTTTTTATTGACTTTTTTAGAGAGAGAGGTAGGGAGAAATAGAAACACCAATGTGAGAGAGAAACATCGATCGCTGCATCCTGCGTGCCCTCTACTGGGGACTGAACCCACAACCCAGGCATGTGCCCTGACTGGTAATCAAACTGGGACCTCTTAGTCCACGGGACAATGTTCAATCCACTGAACCACACCAGCCAGGCCCATTGATTTTTAGAAAGAGTAGGAGAGAAGGAAGGAGGAAGGGAGAGAGGGGGAGAAATATTGATGTGAGAGACACATTGATTAGTTGCCTCCTGCACACACCCCAACATGGGCCAGGGATCAAACCTGCAACCCAAGTATGTGCCCTTGACCAGTAATGGAACCCTCAACCCTTTGGTCAGTGGCTGATACTTTAAACATGGAGCAAAACTGGCCAGGGCAGATAATTCAACTTTTTTTTTAAATATATTTTTATTGATTTTTTTAGAGAGAGGGGAAGACAGAAACATCAGTGTGAGAGAGAAACATCAATCGGCTGCCTCCTGCACACCCCCTCCACTAGGGATCGAGCCTGCAAGCTAGGCATATACCCTAACGGAATCAAACAGGGACCTCTCATTCCTTGGGACGACACTCAGTCCACTGAGTGCACTGGCTGGGAAGATAATACAACTTTTAAAGAACTTGCAGCCTTAGCTAGTTTGGCTCAGCTGTGAAACATTGGCCCTCGGACCAATGAGTCTTGGTTCATTTGCCGCCAAGGGCACATACCTCGGTTGCAATTTGTCCCCGGCCCTGGTTGGGGTCATGCGGGAGGCAACCAGTCGATGTGTCCCTCTCACGTCGATGTTTATCTCTCTCTCCCTTTTTCTCCCTCCCACTCTATCTGAAGATAAATAGAAAAATATCCTCAGGTGAAGATCAAAAAAAAAGAACTTGCAGAACTTTTTAATCATCAAAGGAATGGAGAATTGTCTTGTGTGACATTTTTATCCCTGAGTGGCAAAGGAAACATGGCATAAAATGGGAGAATTGACTGATATAATATTGTGTGTGGGCCTGACAGCAGTGTGAAATAGTTTGTATGAGTATGCAATAGTTCTCTATAGTATTAGTTTCAAGAATGTGTCTGTCTGTGTTTATATATATTTCATTGTGTGTTTACGATTTGCTGATGTTTGTTAAATCTTCAACTTAGATCTAACTTTCCCAGGCAACATCTTGGATAATCAGGGGGTTATTTGTCCTTGTGTTTTTTATTGCTTTAAAAACTACCTTTGTTTCAGTTGAGGAGAAGCTCTCTTTGTTCATTCCACAAATATTTCTTGAATGGCCCCTATGTGACAGGCATATAGTTAAATACACAGGATTTCAGTAAGCAAGAACTCATTTCCCTAATGTAAGCATCCCATAAAAGGTATGGGCATGCAGGCGTTGGGGGCTGGGGATGGGGGCAGGCATGTGCAGGACAACCACCTACTCAGTCCTATCAGCAGGTACACTCAGCCTGTCAGAGCAGTTGCAGATGCTGTAGCCAGATTGTTCTTATGTGGAAGAGATGTGGCAGAGAGGATTTAACAAAATGATGTGTGAAGAAGGGACACATAAACAGTATGAAAACCAAAGGCCTAACTGCTTTGGTACAGTCCTGTTTCTCTGCAGTCCAGCCAGGATATAAGAGAAAAGCAAAAGAGTTAACATTGATATACCACAAATGTTGTGAATCAATAAAGACAAGCAGTTTTCTAAAAAAAAAAAAAAAAAATAGGCAAAGGCCACAAGCAGTTTTACAGGAAAACAACTGACAAGCCCTGCTGGTTTGGCTCAGCGGTTAGAGCGTTGGCCTGCAGACCAGAGAGGCCTGGGTTTGGTTCCTCGTACCTCGGTTGCAGTTTGTCCCCAGCCCCGTTGGGGTCGTGTGGGTGGCAACCACTTGGTGTGTCTCTCTCACATTGATGTTTCTCTCTCTCTCCCTTCCTCTCTCCTTCCCACTCTATCTGAAGATAAATGCAGAAAAATGTCCTCAGGTGAGGATAAAAAAAAAAACTGACAACATGAAAAAAATACTTAACTTCAGCCATAGAGAAATGCAGAATAAAACAAGATAACATTTTGACCTATTAAATGGGTAAGGTTTAATAAGTTTGATAATTCTCAGTATAGGTGATAGTTTAGACACACAGGAAGTTCTATAGTGACTGTCAATTGGTACAGTCATTTGGACAAGTTGAGAATGTATCTCAGTGTTAAGTTTACATATTCTTGGGTCCAGAAATCCCATTCCCATAGAATTACACAAAGGTGTTTATTGTTTATAATTGCAAAAATCTGGAAGCAATTTCTGTCCGCCAGTGTTTAAAGGAACTTAGAATCAAATCGGTGACTTCCACATTGCTAAATCCAGTGATCAGTTCTCAGAACGTACCCATTGTAATTCATTAGTCACAATGATCACTGCCTTCTCCAAGCACAGGCTATTCTCTGGTCTTCCAATCTTTTGGT